TTAGATGGGTCTGACCAAAGTCCTTGGACTTCAACGCACTGCCAGGCAGTGTAAGGTATATGAAGCAGAGTAAAACTGCAGGAATGGAACTGATTTAATTTCAGTGGTCAATTGCCCAGAACCATGGAAAAAACACAAATATAAACTTGGGTTTGGATAAGAATTTTACTAATGGTAGCATTTTTCTATGCAGCTGACTGATCCAGAATCCCGTATTTCCAGAAGTGGGAAAGGAGTAACGTAAAATCTAGACAAATAATTTAAAGCCTGGAGGATCTGAGGGTTTTTTTCAGCAGTTTTTTAGTAGATGGTTGAATGAGATATTTTATGCTCCAGTGAATTTCCCATTCTTCCTCTGAGTTTAGAAAAATGAGCAGATGTTGCCTTCTAATTTTTGACATCATAGTTCTCTCCACCAGATTTCAAACACTCTTCCCATGATTTGAATGAGACTCTTGTACTCTGAGGGAATTTTTTCAAAAGTGGGGTTGGGTGTATTTTCATGAGATATTCTCTGAAGTTGTTCTAGGAAATGTGTAGCTTTGACCATATCTACAGAAATCTGTATCACCCATTCTCTTGTACATCCAGCTCTTCTGAGGCTTTTTTAACTGCACAATCAATAAATCACTCTTAAAATTTTTCTCTGTACTTAAAAAACATAGTGGAGTTGTGCAACCTCAAGACAAATGCCAGTTAATTGTTTTATCATCAGGTTGTTTTTATACTCAAAGATAAAAGAATAAACTAAAAAAAGTAAATATATAACTTGGCATAAGCATAAGGGGGTTCAGGGATTCTAAGAACAGCACAAATGAATGTATTAAAATAAATGAGTAAAAAACTTATTCCTTTTACCAGTACCTTTGCTCTGACTTCGCACAAGAGGAGGTCTTTTTTTTTTTCCAGATGCAAAACTTCTGCAAAGTTTTATAGTGAACATGAAACATTTCATCTTTCTGAATCTGTGCTTTAATTGCTGAATTATATTCCCAAGGGTTCACCAGCCCTATCACCTATCTATTCATCTTGCTAATATTATCCTTATGAAAAAAACACAGTTTGGATGGTGTAAGCAGGAAAAATAAGAGACTTAACTAGAATCTTAACCTAGCCCTCAACTGTCCATCCATTACAGAATCAATAAAAAGGGGTTTAAAAATTTTCCATTTATAGAGGAAGTGCTTTTTAAATATTATGTACTCAAGCTATAGAGGTCATGTTTTGTTGCAGTATATATGTTTTAAATGCCGAGGTTAGACTTTTAAAAATACATTTATGTATATTTATCCGTGTTCCATCAGATCTGTAGATGGAAGGTAAAAGTCTTACTACAGGATTTACTTGTCAATTAGTCTACGAACTCTCATTCTCTCACTGCACCAAGCATAATTTAAGAAACAAAATCACTGGGATTTTTGGAACTTTAATCAGGAAGATTAAATTCCCATATCAAAGATATAATTTTATGGTCCAACTAAGTTATAACTTATCTGTGTGATAGTTAAACCATACACGTGTTATGATATCTATTACACAGAATTTAGATGCACTTATTTTGACTTCAGATCTGGTTCTATTTAAACTAAGAGAATATCTTTTAAAATATAGCACCAGGAAGAATGGAAGTACTCAAAGGTCATGATTCAGATGCCAAAAAAACATTCTAAAACTGTGATTTTCTTGATTAGGATATTAGCAATTCATAAAAAGTCAAATGGAAGTCAGGAGTGTAAAAATTTGTTAACACTATTTCCCATATTTATAAGAATGAAACTATTCTCTTAGCAGAAGATCCTCACGTGTTCACAGGGGGTCACTCCAGGCTACTTATAGCCTCAAAGGGTTCTTTTTAGCTAGGCCAGAACAGTCAAGGATGCTTGGGTCTTTATACTCAAGGTATATTCTTTATAGTTATATTGTGTGCAAATGTAATTTAGGAAGAAAAATTAAACAATCATTAGGGTATCGGATTCTTAGGAGACGCTGGGGAAAATATCCTTGCAATCCCAAATACAGACCTAGGATAGATTCATACGCGATTGACAAATTCTAGAAATTTAGAATTATATATATATATATATACCCTGTGAAATCAATGGGATTCAGTTAGTTTTGTGTGGGGGTCTTCTGTTTTCAATGTTATGACAAACAAAAATCTATCAGATGTCAATATTTTCCAAGGATTTTTTTTAAAGACCTCCTATATATTTTTGCTTGGTTATTTGTGTATACAAATAGCTATCTCCATATCTTACTAAGCAGGACTACAAATTCTCATATTAATGCTCATTGGACAAAGATTTGGTGTGGAGGCCAATGCTATTATCAAAGCCAAATTCAGAGAGGTAATCTGAAAATAGTAAGATTTTGCCTGACAGTAACCACAAATATATCCCCACTGTAAGTATCTGATGTCATCGCATCAAAGTGAAAATTTCTGGATCCTATTACCAGGTAAGTTGCTTTAAAAAAATAAAGTCAAATGACTATTTTTCAAATGCAAAATTAAGAAACTAACAATGTGATATTTCATAAAATATTTTGCACTGTTTTGACGCTGTAATACCTTAGGCTTTAAGTGGAATTTTTGCAGGTCATTAGGTCATAATGCAAACCACCACCTTGGGAATTTTTAAAGGAAAATGAACGTAGGTGGAAAACAAGCTGAGCTGTTTAGTTTATACCATCATACCTGCATTTCTAAGCATTTGATTCAGGTAAAGCTCTACCTTTTATACAATTTTAGTGGCAAATGCGACAGTGACAACGAAAGTGATGGAAACACATGCTGAGGCTTTTTGCTAGTAGCATCATGACAAGCAGCATGCTTCTATGATAGGAGCTATCCCCAGTGTATCAATCATATATAAGAAGACCACAAGCGGATTTTCAATCTTCTTATCTCATTCCCCAGTGTCTCCTTGCTCTTCTATTTTTTATAGGGAAGAGAGACAGAAGGTTGCCTCAAGATTATTTCTGTGGCAGCTTCAACTCTCCCAATGGTTTTCTGCTCAGTGCCTGTGACTGACACTTAGTTCTGCCTGAAGGACAAGGACAAGACAGACCTCTAAGTGTCAATCAATGGAGCATGCCACATGATGTAATTGAAAAATACAGTGCTTCTGCAATAATATGAGGACATCATTTTTAGTGCTAAGTGGTGGTAAAGAGAATTCTGAGTATCTTGCTTTTATTTTTATAGCACTGGACTTAACATGGCTAAAAGAAATAAACCTGAGCTATAGAATTCAAATCCTGTAATTAAGCAATGCTGAGATCAAGGTTAAGCACCACTTTTTATTTCATCTGCAGAGCATGAGACCTTTCCAGCCTAATCATCTAATCTGATGTGCCTTCATCCAAGTTACCTGTTAGCTCAGCACAGAATGGATACGGTTGGGTACGGTTGGAAGGGACCACAGTGAGTCATCTGGTCCAACCTCCCTGCTCAAACAGGGTCATCCTAGAGCACATTGCACAGGATTGCATCCAGATAGACTCAGAGTATCTTCAGTGAGGGAGACAACACAACCTCTCTGGCCAATCTGTTCCAGTGCTTGGTCGCCTGCACAGTAAAGAAGTTTTTTCTCATATTCCGGTGGAACTTCCTGTGTATCAGTTTCTGCCCTTTGCCTCTTATCCTACTGCTTGGCACAACTGAGAAGAGCCTGGTTCCATCCTCTTGACACTTCCTATCCCTTTCAGATACTTATAAACATCGATGAGGTTCCCTCTCAGTCATCTTCGTGAACAGGCCCAGCTCCCTCAGCCTGTCCTAAGTGAGATGCTCCAGTTCCTCAGTCATCTCTGCCGCCCCTCGCTGGACCCGCACCAGGACCTCTGCATCTCTCTTGCACTGAGGAGCCCAGAACTGGACACAGCACTTCAGATGTAGCCTCATCAGAGCTGATTAGAGGGACAGGACCAATCCCTAAATCTGCTGGCAATGCTCTTCTTAGTGTACCACTGGCCTTCTTGGCCAAGGGCATACTGCTGGTTCATTGACAGCCTGTTTTCCACCAGGACCCCCAGGTCCTTCTCCACAGAGCTGCTTTCCAGCAGATTGGCCTCCAGCCTCCTGCCTGGGGTTATTCTACCCCACATGCAGGATCCTGCACTTGCCTTTGTTCTGCTCTGCCCAACTCTCCAACTTGATGAGGTTCTTCGGAATCGCAGCACAGCTCTCTGGGTTATCAGGCACTCCTCCCACCTTTGTGTTGTCAGTACACTTGCTGAGGACACATCTGCCCCTCTATCCAAGTCATTAATGAATAAGTTAAACAAGACTAGGCCCAGAATTGTATGCTGGGGGACACCACTAGTGACAAGCCTCCAACTAGACCCTGTGTCACTGATGACAACCATCTGAGCTCTGCTGTTCCACCAGTTCTCAATTCCCCTCACTGTCCACTCCCCCAATCCACACTTCCTGAGTCTGTCTACAAGGATGTTGTAAGAGATGATGCTGGAGCCCTTGCTGAAGTTGAGGCAGACAGCATCCACTGCTCTCCCCTCATCCCTCCAGGTAGTTGTTTCATCACAGAAGGCAATCACATTGTAGAAGGCAAACACACAGGCATAGCACAGCAGGCTAGTGTTAGTAAACCTGTGGAAGTTTTGCACACCCCTAAACTCAGGCCATCTCATTCTACTAAGTACTTTAATTAGGTTCTTCTTTTATGTAAACTTTTTAAGGAAAACAATGCAGGATATACTTAGGAAGCATCTATCCTTCCATAGCATAATTCCCCCACCACCCTAAAGCAAGCAAAACATGGTTACCCACCTGTAGAGACCTACCTTAGCAGTCTGTGAACCAATCTAAGGAAAGTTGTCGTTAGGGTTCCCACTGCTGAGCAGAGAAACAAAAGCATCACAAGGATTTGCCTAAGGTCACAAAGCAAGTGAGTAGCTGAAAAACACTAGATACTGCTGCTTCTCTTTTTACCTTCCCTTCTGTCTGCGATTTCCAAGGGGAGATTTGGGAAGTTACATACCTTTCAAAAGATAGGTGAATGTATTTAGAAACTCTTCATGTGACTGCTCATGGCTATTAATAAATTGATCAAGGATGTTGTTTTCTAACAGTTGTTCTCCCATTATCTTCACCTTGAGAGCTGAATGAGTGGATTCGCTTTAGTAGGCTGCTTCTGCAATAGAAAGAAAACAGCCATATGTATCTGCAGGCAAAAAACAAATCAACTGAAGTCCCTAATTCACAGAGATGGGCAGCAGAAAGTCAAATTTTTCTTCTCTCCTAGTGAAGTTCCGATCTTGTCAGTGGAACTTTACACAGTTCCCCTAAAATTCAAGTGGACAGAGAAATTTTAAGTACAAAGAGAGCAACTTCAATCATCTATGCCTGGAATTTATAACCTCAGGTAATGTGGGTCACAGAAGTGCCAGCTTCTCTCAGTGGTATTCATTCCCTCATTTTAAGTTGTTCAGTCTTTCAACCCCTGCCTTCTGTGCAGAAACAGCAACACCACTCACTAGCACGTTGTGTTTAACAACTGAGACATCTGTACATTCAAAACTTGGACTGAATCCATCATTCTCCAGATGCACCACTCACTGTACCATCAAAGCCACTAACCCAGATTTTGAATAGCATGTTGAATCACAATGGCATGTGTGTGTATGCTGAGAGAGCACACAGGACAGGGCAGTGTGGTGGAATGGGGCAGCCACATGTGAGGACTGGAACAAATGCTGAGAGCTGAGGGAAACCCACAGAGGCTTTTCTGACTTGAGAATCACACAGCAACAGCTTTCCAGCCAATCTTCATCACTTAACCAGACTCTACAGGAAGTAATGGCCCTAAAACAGCTCGTGGTGAAGTCTGCTCAAGAAGATAACCTTGCCCCTTACTTATAAAAGCTCTGTAAATGCATTTTAACAGCTGTGTGATGCTAAACACTTATACTACTAATTTTTATACACATGAGCCCACACCACAATAAGCAGATAAACCCAGTGAGACCATGCCCACTGTCTCACAGAGTAGTAAGTTAACTAAAAAATGCAAATTATCAGTTTGCATACATAAACATGATCAAGATGCAAAAATGCTTTACACATTAAGTGCTTGATTTGCCTGTGTTCCTCTGCTTCCTCTCTTGATTTACCATAGCATTAAGAAGTGGATTTGGGGGATGAAAGCTTAATTCTTCAGCAAAACTTCAAATCAACTACACTAAGGAAAAGCTGCCAGCATGATTTTAAAGCTATATAGGATCGAAAAAGAACTGTTCAGAGCCCAGCAGGAAAATAAAGCATGATTTCAAATGCAAAACTCTGATTTTGTTGGATTGCCTGCTTGTAAGGAAGACTAATGTTCTAAAGAAATAAAAATACATGCATATCCACACGACCTAAAGTTTAAGTTTTCTGATGTTTTACAAAAATCAATCATTATTCTCTCTAAGGACTGACCAAGTAGAATATAATTCACCAGACTCTGAGAGTGGTTTATGTACTACAGCAGTTTGAGAGGGAAGCAATGTCTTCTATTCATCATTATCGTGAAGTTATTAAAATCATTATTTAAGGTAATTTCATTATATGAAATAGCACACTGATTTGTAAGGCTACTATAAAATTACACATATATAAATATATTTAATCAAGAAAATGTTAATAACAAACTTTTATTTTTTTTCAGCATCTGGTGTCTAGGATCTCCAAGTCCCTTATAAACACTAATGAAATAAACTTAACAACACTCCCATGAGGAAAAGCAAAGAAATATTATTCCCAATAACAAAGTAAAGCAAAGGGGCACCAGGAGTTTAAATGACTTGAAAACAGGTCAGTGGAGGGCTGACAATAAAGCTTAGACTACTTCATTCTAAAATGCTCTAGGAAACTAGAAAATTAATATGCAATTCTGGGCAATAGTTGTATCCTTAACCAAGCTGAGACAGTTTTCTCAGTGAATGCCAGGTTCTACAGCCACCAGATCAGCAGCCTGAGACTGAGCACCCAGACCAGGTGGCACCAAAATTATACATCTCAATTCTTACTCTGTTGTGCAGCCTCTACTTCCTACAGAACTTAGGAAACCTCACCTCAGATGCACAGCTGTTGCACAGCTGTTATTTAGGTCTACAGAATCATCTCCTCATGGAGAGGAAAAATCAGCTAGGTCCTAATGACAGCCTAAGTTCTGTCAGAAAAACAGCCATTCACTCAAACAACAGAGAGGAGAGACTGGCAGCTGTAACTACCTGTCCCCCATTTTCAATTAGCTCTAAGAACTGCAGGGCACTATAGCATCGCCCTAAATTAAAGCAAGCACAGAAGATGGTATTTGGAGAACATCTACTATCCCTAAAACTGAACATATGGTTAGAAGGGATGGCACAATAGTGTTCAAAAACTTATCTCAACCTATCAAGATGTCAGTATTTTATTTTGCTTTTCTGCTGCCTCACACCTACTTTATTCCTGAGTCTCTATTAAATGAATACCACGCTGTGTCAGTTGCAGAGCTGTCTGATGCGAACAGCTGAAACCAGGATGACCAGAAGACTCTCATCTGTGCTAAGGAGCTCACCAGCAAATTCTACATAAGTAAAGGGCTTCAGTAATCACACAATTCACAGCCTCAAGGCAATGAGTTCTTTAATCTGTCATGAAAAAAACGTACAATAATGCATTGGAATCCCCACGATTTATAAAGTGGATACAATAACACCACTAGGAATGAAATGACTGCATTGTTCCACTAGAGACTAGCTACTACTAAAATCAAAAACTTATCCTATTTATACCAAAAGGCATCAAACTAATTTGGAGGTTTCAAAGAAAGTAAGGCAAGGATATCTGATCCTTTCCCTGAGCTGGCTTTGAATAGTTTTAGAGTCAAATATCTCTAAGTGATGCATTCAACTAGCAACTATGAATTTTCTATTTGCATTTCACTCCTGCTCATCCACCCAAGTAACTTTAATGAGGTTTCTTGAGGTAATCATTCATTAAGCCTTGCTGACCACGAGCAAATAGTGCAAAATCAATTTTATTTCTCAAAATGCAGTCTTCTTTCCAGCAGTTTAGAACAAATCAGAAATCTCTGTTTTGAATCACAGAGGCAGGTCAAGTGAATATTAGCATGATTTCAATTACGTAGTGATTAGTTCTATTAAACAACACAAAATGTGGTGAAATATAGGCTTCCTGGTTTATGCTGCATTTTCAAGTGCTTTGTTATGTTTCTCTTCAATACAATATAGGCAGTAAAAAAAAAAAATCAAGATTCTGATTTTTTTTTAAATGGAGAGAGCAGTAAGCTAATCCTCTCTACAAACTCAATAAAATCTTAGGTAATTTTCTTTTTCTGGGGAAAAAAATACTTCACTCGCATTTCTGGCATAGGCTCAAGTCAGGTTTTCATGCTATGAATTTGCTCTCCCAGAAGTCATCTCAATTTTTAAAAATAGGGTTATTCATAAATGTTTTTTAGAGATCACTCATAGGTTCATGGAAAATATCTACTAAGTACACCTGTTATCGAGATTGGGTAATCCATGTCTGCAAAAATAAGAGTGAACACAAAGACATTATTTTAAATCTTACAGTCTGTTACCGGATATCTGCCCAATCTTTTTTCCCCTACAGAACTACCACAGTAATTATACCTGTCACAACTAGCTTTTTTCAAAGGGATCTTTACATATTTCAGATCTAACCTCTCATAAAACTAACCCTAAGCAACAAGCATTTCCGAAACGTCTCTCATCCATAAAGGTTTTACATGTCAGTCTGCACTGAAGACCCTGATTCTGGGGACTCTCCTGGGCTGGCTAGTTCAGCAACTCGCTCACAGTAGCTCTCATAGTGACGGGGTGGGCTGGTAGTGCAGAAATTGTCTCTGAGGGTTGGCTGTTCATGCAGTTTGGCAATACTGCAGGTGTACACGCAAGTCTTAAGTATGCAATAAATTGTCAGGAGACCAAGTACAGAAACAGAGCTGGTTCTTGTCTACTAAGGACAATGAGAAAGCACACTGTGATTCAGGACACCTCCAACCTGTTCCAGAAGCTACGTAACAGCATCATGTCTCCTACAAAACACTCCGTAACATCTCACTCTCCCCTCTAGAAAACAGCACTGGAGAGGTCACCCCATGTAATATATGCACTAGAATATTTGCATAAAGCTTGCTCAAGGAAACTCATTTATTCACACAAAATAAGTGACCTAGGTCCTATATCATTAGGTCCTTTACTGTTACTAAAGTAAACTCAACGTCCAAGAGCCAGGACTAGTTAATTTTGGAAGAAAATTATGTGATTTCCACTCCTTGCTGTCTTACTGCTGTTTACCCCATAGAGGAGTATGGATTTGCTATATTCTTACAGCAATGAAGAATGAGATAGCACCTTTACAAAAGCCTGTATCAGATGAGTGCAGAATCAATTTAAGCCTATCTAGGTGGCTGCTCCCAAGAAAGCCACTACCACCTTCTCTTCCTCTTCACCCTTAGGTTTTTCACACCAGTCCATTTCTTGGCCAGCCAATATAAACTTCCAATATAAAAGCTGAAGCTAAACTGAGCAAATGCATAATTGTTTTAAATACACATTTCCTGACCTGCCTTACAGCCATACGATCATGAGTGCCTGTACAAGCAGACAGTGGGAACATGCAGTGGGAACATGGGAAGGATGCAGGATTGCCCTTTTGGCAGCCTATCATCGTTGTTTATGCAACAGTGAAAGCACAGCCTCATCAGGAACACCCCTCACAAATGGCCCAAAAAGCTGTGCTTCCTCCAAACTAGCAAAAGCAGACGTTAGCAGGGCACTCCTACACTCACCACAGCTAGAGCCAGAGCCTGGAGTGTAGATCATCAGCCCCCATGCTGGGAGGTAGAGCTGGAATTCCAGCCTGTCCTTAACAAATTCTTGTTATTAGATATGGACTGCTACCTTAACAAACATCCCAGGATGGTGCTTTAAAAAAGGTCAAAGGAAAGGAGTGATTCTGGAAATTTACAGAATATTCTGAGTTGGAAGGGACCCACAAGGACCATCGAGTCCAACTCCTAAGTGAATGGCCCATACAGGGGATCGAACCTGTGACCTTGTAATTATTAGCACCAAGTTTTCATCAACTGAGCTAACCTCAATTCCTGCTCAGGAAAGA